CTGAGCATGCCCTCATCACTAGTCCCAAACTCACAATTTCTTCCTTTTGGTTTGTTACATAGTTGTCCATCTGTTCCCCTAGATGTGGTTAAGACCAGAATTGGTAGCATTCACATACCATATATTCTTAAGGTTACAACAGTTTCTCAACATTGTGCAGGCATTAAGGGGGAGCATTTTCTGTGGCAGATTTCTTTCCCAATGTGTATAATAAAATCACTACTTTAATGTCCTTTTCATTTTTATCTGCTTCTGAGGCTTTTATCTAGATGGGGAAGTGTTATTTCTAACTCTACCTATTCTCAGGAGATACAAAGGAAAATAAAGGTGTGGTTGGCTTGAAACATTCTATGTTCTGATTTTTAAAGTATAATTTTCTAGTTTAACTGCTTTACTTTTGGTTTCACTTTTGTGTTCCCACTGCCTCTCAATACTCTGTAGTTTCTGTTTGCAATCCAGAGAGCAACAAGAACCAGTTTATTGACTGTGTGTAGTTAGGGTTGCCAGATGGTTTCAACAAAAATACCAGGCACTCTTGACATTACATCACAATCTACAATATATCTTATTTAGAAAATACCGGACATTTATATTTTCTCAATTGGTTTCCTGAACAGAAAGCTCAAATACTGGACTGTCCGGTTCAAAACCGGACACCTGGCAATCCTATGTGTAGTAGCTTGCACCATTTACTGTTGTACTGAAAAAAACTGCCACTTTTTGCTCCAAAAAGAAAGTGGTCACTTCTGATACCATTTCATGCTTACTAGAATAATCAGGTAGTGTAGTACATTTTCCTCATGCCTCAGCCTCTGTACTGCAGGAAGCAGAGTTGAACTTTCTGAATTTCTGAAAGTTATTAAGTCTGCCAAACAAGCCAGCACATATTATTGCTAAACTGACAGCTGTATTTGCAAAGCATGGGATTGCTGAAGTGTTAGTGGGTGACTGTACTGCATTTGCAATCAGAGAAATGAGTAACTTTGTAAGATCTTGGGGAGTGAAACATACTCCTGTCATGGATATTCACTGTTTAATGCAAATGCTGAGAGAACCCTTCTGACAATAAAATCAGTGTTTGACAAAACTGTTCTATCAAATAGGCAGGGCTCGCTGAATCGTGATGAGCCCTGCTCGCCAGCTGCGCAGATCGCCGGAACCCAGCTCTTCCGGGTTACAATCTACTCACCATGGGCGAGTAGATTGTATAATTTGTCGAGCCCTGCAAATAGGGATCACAACTTAGTGCTTTTGGAGTTGAAACACATCATTGTCTGGTATGGAAGACTGTCATATACAGTTATTGGTGGGAAGGATGTTGAGAACAACTCTTTCATCTTTACACGTGTAGCTACTATCTAAACTACTTTGGAGAGCTCACACCAGATTAAAATTGCTACAGGAATGACAGAAGAAATAGAGGTTTCAGAGAGGTAGCCGTGTTAGTCTGTTTCAGCAAAAACAACAAGGTGTCCGGTGGCACAAAAGCTTATGCTCTAATACCCTAATAAATTTGTCAATCTTTAAAATGCCACCAGAGTTTTTGTTTACTTGTGTTTTATTGACTTCCAAAAACCATTTGACAAAATCTATCAGTACAGGCCAGCCTCACTATAGGTCCAAGATATGTTCCAAAAAACTTGAACTTATAGCGAAACAGTTTAAAGGAGGGAATTTTTTCTCCGCATCTCACTTTCATTTGTACAAATTGGTTTTTTTTTCTGCACGACTTAAGAGCGGTCAATGGGAGAACTTACGGCTTTAGTGCGGAACAGATGTATACTGGGGCGACTTATAGCGGGGATGCCCTGTACAATTACTCAACATAGTAATATCTGTAAGGATTTATTATAGACTCTGAGTAATAGAACAGTTATATTGGAATCAGAAAGTATTTATAGTGGGAGATGAAAATGAACATTTAATAGAGATCAAGAGAAAAGTGAGACAAGGTTGTATAATGTCATGGACTTCAGTCAACACTTAAAATGAATGCTTGATTAAATTAATCAAAGAACCAGAAGAAGGTATTAAGAAATATGGAAAATGGGTGAATAACATTTTCTGTGAGGAGGGTATAGTGCTGCTGGCTGATTCAGAGAAAAGTCTGGTTAAGTAAATGGAGAAGAAATTCATCCTGGAAATAAAGTACACAGATTTAACAGTGAGGATAATTAGGGTATGTCTACAATACAGCGCTAATTCGAACTAACGCATCCAGACTAAAAAACTAGTTCGAATTAGTGTTTTGCTAATTCGAACTAGCATGTCCACACAGAGTGGGCCCTGAACAGAGGTTAAGGATGGCCGGAAGCAGTGCCGGCAGGGCATCAGATGAGGACTTAGAGCGTGGAGCTGCTGCCTCAGGCTAGCTGAGGGTTGTGCTTAAAGGGACCCGACCCCCATCCCGGACAGACAGTTCTCAGGGGTGCCCCACTTGCAAAGCAGTCCTATCTTGGAGTGCCCTGAGTGCCCACACTGGGCACATCACAGCACTCGGCCATCAGACCGGCTGCACTTGCTGCAGGCTGCCATCTGGGGAGACGGGGCAATTGGGGTGCTGCAGGAGAGTTTCCACCCCCAGAAGCCCGCAGAGCTCCCCATCCTCCCCATCGGGGGCTCGTACCCCATTCCTCCCTCACCTCCTTCCACTTACCCTTCCCTAGCCCCCCTTCCTGATATACAAAATAAAGAAAATGTGTGGTCAAAAATAGAATCTCTCTTTATTGAACAAAACTCGGGGAGACTGGGAAAAGGAGGTGGGAGAGGGGAAGAGAGAGGGTGGGAGAGGGGAGGGCAACTAAAATGATCAGAGGTTTGGAACAGGTCCCATATGAAGAGAGGCTAAAGAGACTGGGACTTTTCAGCTTAGAAAAGAGGAGACTGAGGGGGGATAGGATAGAGGTCTATAAAAGCATGAGTGGTGTGGAGAGGGTGCATCAAGAAAAGTTCTTCATTAGTTCCTATAATAGAAGGACTAGAGGACACCAAAGGAAAGGAATGGATAGCAGGCTTCAAACTAGTAACAGAAAGTTGTTCTTCACAAAGCAAGGAGTCAACCTGTGGAACTCCTTGCTGCAGGAAGCTGTGAAGGCTAGAACTAGAACAGAGTTTAAAGAGAAGTGAGATAAAGTCATGGAGGTTGGGTCCATGGAGTGGTATTAGCCAGGGGGTAGGTGTGGTGTCCCTGCCCAAGGTTTGTGGAAGGCTGGAGAGGGATGGCACAAGACAAATGGCTTGGTCACTGTCTTCGGTCCATCCCCTCCAGGGTCTTTAGGGTTGGCCACTGTCGGCAGACAGGCACCTGGGCTAGATGGACCTTTAGTCTGACCTAGGACGGCCATTGTAAGCTCAGGGCTCAGGGTCGGGGGTCTCAGTGGACCACCTTGATTTTCATGCACACCTGCTCCTGGGTGGCCAGGCTGGCAGCTCTCGAGGGGGGGGGTGGTGGGCGAGGCCCACGATGTCCGCACTAGACCAGGTGGGTGCCCGCCTCTTGCGGGCTGGGGAGCATCGGGTAGCTGGCTCGAGCCGTGCCAGGTGCAGGGTCTGCTAGCTGGGTGCTGGTAGGCTTGCACCTGGCACAGGCATCGTAGCCAGCCCGTGCCCCTTTAAGGAGTCCGGGGCTGGGAGGGGGGCAATAGAGTTTCCCTGGTGTTGGCCAGAGTGGCCACCAGGAAAAGCTGGGGAGTGTTAGCCTCCCACTGGTTCGAATTAAGGGGCTACACAGCCCTTAATTTGAACTAGTAAGTTCAAACTAGGCTTAGTCCTCATAGAATGAGGTTTACCTAGTTCGAACTAAGCGCTCCGCTAGTTCGAATTAAGTTCAAACTAGCGGAGCACTAGTGTAGCGCCTATCAAAGTTAATTCGAACTAACATCTGTTAGTTCGAATTAACTTTGTAGTGTAGACATACCCTTAGATATTGGAATAGTTTACCAAGGTTGTGAGGAATTCTCTATCACTGACAGCTATTAAATCAAGATTGGGCATTTTTCTTTAGTTAAAACAGGAGCTAATTCAGGGAAGTTCTATGGCCTGTTATACAGAAGGTCAGACGAGATGATTGCATTGTTGCCTTCTAGCCTTATATACTATGGCTGTGTCTACATTGGCACGATCTTGCACAAAAGCGGCCGCTTTTGTGCAAAAACTTGCTGCCTGTCTACCCTGGCCGTGAGTTGTTGCACAAGAACACTGACGTTCTAATGTATGAAATCAGTACTTCTTGTGCAAGAACTATGATGCTCCCTCTCAGGAATAAGGCCTCTTGCACAACTGTTCTTGCGCAAGAGGCCAGTGTAGACAGGCAACGGGAATTTCTTGCGCAAGAAAGCCCTATTGTTAAAATGGCCATCAGAGCTTTCTTGCGCAAGAAAGTGTCTACTCTGGCATGGATGCTCTTGCGCAAAAGCACATCTCTTGCGCAAAGGCACATGCCAGTGTAGACGCTTTCTTCTGGAAGAGTTTTTGCACAAGAACTCTTCTGCAAAAGAGTACTTGTGCAAAATCATGCCAGTGTATATGTAGCCAATGAATCGCAGTGTTAGAGATGTTGGAACAGATTTGCAAAGATAGCAGTGCCTAAAGATGAAGATAGCCACTTAGTGGGATTTACAGAGTCATCTAAGCAGTTCTAAGTTCTTTAGGCAGCTTCATTCCTTTATAAATCTGGTATGTTGTCCCTTCTAGAAATAAATTAGCTGGCTATGGATTGAGTATTCTTTGTATTATCACTTATATTCTGATATAATTTTGTTCAGATATATATGAGGATTCAGTCCATGTCCCAAAGAACTTGCAGTCTAAAAAGACAAAAAAGAGTGGGAGACCAGGTAGTGAGGATAATGACAGACACCGATTTTTAGTAGAAATATTTTAGTAAAAAATATATATTATTGTATATGTTTGTAGAGATGGGGGAAGCATTATGCCTATTTCATTTATTAAAAATGTTTAATTGCCCATGTTTATCCCATTTTCTTCTACTGCTTTCTCAGGAAGAATCACCACAGTTGGAGGCTTTTTAGGCATCATTAAGAAACAATTTAAGAAAATTTTGAAGCTGTGTCAGGCTAATTTGCTTTCAGCATTTGGTCAAGGTAGATGCTATATATGAATAGATGTTATTTAGAGAATAATTTATTTTGAACAATTGAAATGCATATGCAAGCTTTTATTAATATAATAATTAAATTAAGAAGTACTGTGTCATAAGAGGATATTATGTACTTTAAGCTGGTAAGTCCAAGTAAATTTTATGTTTATTTGATCTCTTCCTAAGCTTCAAATATATCTAAGGTTCTTTTGCATAACATGTTACCTATTCTTTAGAAGAGTATATGCTAAATAATCTACATAGAAAACTAAATCAATGAAAATGCCACGAGTAAAAGTTACAATGCTCTATTTAAATGCTGAATATACCTCATGATTCAATAATTACTGAACTGATGAGTTAACAGATATGATATCAGTGGTCAAACTTGTATTGTTGCCCTCTTGTCTTTGGGAAAAGACTTGCAGCTTCCAAAAGGGGTGATATTTAGGGCATATCTAAACTACATCCCTCTTTCGAAAGAGGGATATAAATTAGACAGATCGAAATTGCAAATGAAGCCGGGATTTGAATTTCCCATGCTTCATTTGCACAATGGTGGCCGTGCATTCTTTTGAAAACGGGTATTTAGAAAGTGAAATCGCTGTCTAGATGCAGTTCTTTAGAAAAAAAATCCTTTTTTCAAAAGATTCTGTACTCCTCAAAAATGAGGTTTACAAGATCTTTCAAAAAAGTATTTTTTCTGAAAGAATCGCGTCGAGATGGTGGTTTCACTTTCAAAATGCCCATTTTTGAAAGAACGCGCGGCCACCATTATGCAAGTGAAGTACAGGAAATTCAAATTCTGGCTTCATTTGCAATTTCAATATGTCTAATTTACATCCCTCTTCCGAAAGAGGGATGCAGTCTAGACAGCCTTTGAGAGTGTGTACAGCAGTAAAATGCAATATGCACCTCTATTTATTGTAGCTGTTTCATTTATTGTATGTTGCTACATAATAAAAGCTACTAACGTATTTTGATATATTGTACACAGTATGAGTTTGTAACTAACTAGCTCAAATAATATCCAGCTCTGTAATAAATCAGTGGAATTCACTGTTCTAACATTTTTCAAAATTACAAAGAGCATGTTGGAAGTGAATAAGTACTCTGAAAAATTGATGTGAACCATAATATTTCAAAGCTGCAACCTTGCCATAATGTAAATTTGAGTGTCATACATTCTGCTGTTAAAACCATTGATATGTTAAAATGTTCAGTAAAAATAAAAATGCATGGAAACCTACAGATGTAGGACAGGTTCTTTTCCAAGAATCTTCATTAGATTGTAGTTATGTATGTGTCGCATGCACCAGTGCTGGCTAGCTTTCCCTAGCAATAGCTGTAGGGACAGCCCTGCATGTCCCCTGGCTTCCTTCAGTACCAAACTGAGTGTATAAAGAGAAGAGCCACCCTACCACTCTGTCATCGGTGGTGTGAGCATTTCTGTGGTTTACTGCCTCTTTCTCCTGTAAACAAAATCACCTATAGTTAACTAATTTTATCTAGCAGTCCTCATTCTTTTTCTTTTCTTTTCCGAATCAAGTGGGCTTCCAGGCCTTGCCTGGTACTGGGTGAAGCTTTGCAAAGGTCCCTAGATTTTAAGCCCTGCTTTGGCTGTCATAAACTGATGACTATTAGTGACATTCCCTTTTGCTCTTTAAAGAACTTGGGTGAGACTCACATTAAAGACAGACATACAGATGGATGTTGCTTCAAATCCAAAATCAAGAAACAGAAAAAAGAGCATGATACTGTTCTTCATCCATGTCAAAAATCTTCAGTGGTCACAGGGAATTCTCATCAGCTGCTCCTAGTACTCCCTCCCTTGCATACGAACTCAGACCACTCCTAGCATCTGAAGTGTAGGAAAATTATGCCATTGGCTTCTTCAAAGCCCCTGGTACAGGACTCCTCTGCAGCAGAAGGCCAATCTGGTACTGCAGTTAGAGCATGCCTCTTGTCTTGCAATTTCATGGTAGCAGATCACAGTGACTTTACAGGGCTGAAAAACTAATCCTGCTACCCATCTGAGGATGTTGAGACTGACTACCTTGCTGGTGATGGGAATAGATTCATCATTTACTTATTATGGCTTGACAACTACCCATCTGATGCTTACAACACCAGAATTTTAAACAGCTGTGCTGAAATTCTTTTATTGTACACTAATGCCATTAACACTGATTCAAAGCAAAGATTCTTTAGTGGTGTTGTTTCACTTACCATGCACATCAGTACCCGATATAAGGGTCTGTTATGACTCTCAAGATCTCACAGTCAGCACTGCATTTGTCAGCCTCCTTGATGATCTCTAGGCCCTGTGTACTGGCTTCACGTCATCGAATGTTACCAGTTGCCAGGAAGGCTTTGATGCTGTTTCTAGTACTGCAGTCTTGACATGGATTCCAGCACTGAGCTCTGAGGACACCTTCTCGTATTGCACCAAATTGGCATTTGTTGTATTTTTATACTCCTTGTCTGTCTGGATTGTTTCATGAGTCTCCTGTTATTGCTCTCACAGAAGATTTTCTGTCAAAATACAGCCAGTGATTGGAAAGCCTGGTCTATGTACAACTGTTCTCCCTCTACTATAGTATCAGTCTATACTGAATACCTCTGGGATTGTCTCTTGCATAGAGATCAACATCTCTGGCTCCTCATAGAAGCAAATCATTAAGAAGACTTTCCTGTTAAGTGCTGACCACTAATGGTCAGGACCAGACATCCTCCAGACACACACTTACTAGATATACCCCAGTCTTCCTTGGATCAACATATCTGGCAATGTGATAAGCTCACCAGCCAGGTGTGAGAGACATGTGCAGAATGCAAGTACTTCCCCTCACTCCTTTAGCGTCCAGGGAATGGGATGAAGAGCTAGCCATGTCCTCGAGTGCATGGCTGCTGCCCCCCTATCCTCCTGAAATGGCGCCCTTGAAGATGAGTGAATTTAGTGTTTATGAAAGTGAGTCACTAACAATCTTATCCAGACGTAAGGCAGTTACATGCTGTGCAACTTAATGAGCTGCACATCTGAGGATCCACTGGGCATGTGGATCCCCAGTGGGGCAGAAGCAGCATTGTTCTTCTGGTTCCTGAAACAGATGGTGTGTCCAGAATCCTACTAGAAAATCCTCATATGTCAGACAAGCTGGTATGGGGGGCTTTAGGCAGCCATAAGCCTATTCCAGTTTGTGGCCGGCAGTAGTAGGATTAGTAACCCATAGATGGTTCCTTTTATGCCTCCCTGTGATCACAGCTGAATTCAGTGCTTATTAGGCACTACTGAGAATCTGACACTTTGAATTTAAACCCCATTAAAATGAATGCCCCTCCAATGTTTCAGTGTTGTTTGCAGAACAAAAATGACAGTAGAGCTTTGATTTACTGAAGAAAGGATGTCTTTGCTACTAAAAGGGCTACACTTTTTTTTAAAGAAAAAGCTTTTAGATTCTAAATTATACTGTCAAATTAAACAGAAATATCATATTTCACAGGTTCTCTGTACTTAGAGATCTTTTTTTCCCTGAAAATTACCATCTGTTAGTGACATATTGTACCATGTATTGTTTCTGATTATGCAAGTTATAAAATATTAGTTTTAAATTGAGTGAAAAGCTTTATTCCAGGCCATAGAAATATTTGTTGCCCTTATTTCAAATTATTTATATATTATAATAAACTAGGGTGTCGTGCCCCCTGCTTGCTACACTTGCCAACACCTCTGTCTCTGGCAGCTTTCATGGCCAGAGAGCATGAGATCTACGCTCACCAACCCCCCTCTAGGGGTAGATGTCTGGCCAGGGGGGAGGGAGCAGGAGTGGGATGGGGGTGCCGGGGTCTCAGTGGAAGGGGTGAGTGAGGAGGCTGGGAGTGCAGGGTCTCGGTAGAGGGTGTGTGTGAGGGAGTTGGGGGTACAAGATGTGTGCAGGGTAGTGAGTGAGGGGCCTTGAGAGTATAGAGTCTTGACCTGGGGAGTATGAGTTAGTGGGCTGGAGGTGCGGGGGTCTCAGCTTGGGGAGGTCTGAATGAGGGGGTGGAGGTGTGGGGTCTTGGCAGGGTAGTGAGTGAGTGGGTTGGGGCCATGCTGAGAGCCCGTGCTGGTGCTCCAGCCTCACCCCCCACGCAGAAACCGTGCACTCCCACCCCTCACTCACCACCCTCCCAAGACACCGCACTCTCAGCCCCTCATTCACCAACTCCAGATCAGTCCCCTCCTCTGATCCCACACAGCAGGGAGCCTGAGCTGGAGCTCCAGCCTCACTCCCCCCGAGGAGGTTGAAGTGCCAGTGTGGGCTTCTGAGGGTGCGGGGGAGAGAAAGCTGGCACTGCTGCTTCTCTTCTCCCCTCCCCAGCTGCTGACCGTATCCCTGAGACAGCTCTGTGTGGGCTGTCCTTGGGCTCTGTCCAGTACCTGCAGTTCCAGGAGGCTCCAGCATAGTGGCACAGGAAGGGGGCAGAGATCATGGCCACCACCAGTGCCTGGTTCTGTGCTTGAGCTGTGGGAAGCAGGGAGGCCAGCAAGGGGTGGCAGTGGTGGTCCAAAATATAAACCCACAATTTCTGTGTAATTACGTTTATCTTAAACTAACAAAATTCGAAAATGAGAGAGAGAGCACAGTGTGTGTCACAGATCGGCTGCTGCTCCTGCAGACAACAGAGATCTAGAAAATTAATGGAGCAGTACATCCAAGCCAAAACCATAAATTACTTATCTACATACACAATGCTTATTATTAGGCCTCTGTGTTTCTCTGTGCTGGCATTATGTTCTATTTATTACAACAAAAATTAATTAAAAAGCCTAACATAGAGAGGTAAGGGATATGTTTTATATCTCTATGTCTGGGTGTTTTATTTAATTTGTTTTGAAATAAATAGAATAACAACATACTAGGGAAGCAATTAGACCTGAACATAAATGTTGTGAATGTAAGTATTTAATATGTTTCATTTTTTTTTTTTAGATATCAGTTTGATTTGTCATTGTCTAGTATT